CGGTGTGTGACACGTGCTGTGTCCGTGTGTGTGTGTGTGTGTGCGCGCGCGTGTGTGTGTGTGTGTGTGTGTGTGTGTGTGTGTGTGTGTGTGTGTTTGTGAGAGAGAGAGAGAGAGAGATGAGGGAATCTATACTCTGTTGCGCTCGTGTATTTCCACTTCGAAGAAACACAAAGGCAACGCGGCAGCTCTACGTCCGTTTTCAAACCGTGCAACCGGCAGCACAAGAAAATGCGCCGCCAGTCAAAACGTAAAGAAAAGCTAGCGGAGAGTGCGAAAAGGGCAGCCCCAACATCCGAGAAATGTCACGTGATTTTCACTGTCGGTCGGGAATCGGTTTAAGCTCAGTATATTTCGCACGTTAGTGTATTTGGCTTTTTTCCGGCAGCACCTCGCCTCGCCTCCGGGCAGCTGTGCACGCTTGCGTGATCCGTTCGCTTTTTTTTTTCTCGCGAAGGTTTCGCTTTCTCTCAAGTTTCTATTGTGTGAGCCCATTCCCCATACAGCATATTGGCGCCAGCCGTCGAATTTCCAACGCCCCGTTCTTCTTCATCGGAACGAGTGCGAAAGCAGACTTTCTCTTGCTTCTTCTACTTGCTCTCGTCCTTTAGATACGCACCTCGGTTTGCGCTGTTCGCTTCCATGTGTGTCTGATACCGTCCTTCTTTACCACTTCTCCCCACGCGTTAGTACGTCACCTTATTCTTTGTTTGTTTCTTTATTTTCATTTCTTGCAATAGTAGCATTTTCTCCTTCGCTTCTTCTCCTCCACCTCCTCTTCTTCTTTTTCTTTCTTTCTTCTTGCTTCCTCTTCTTTATCTTTCTTTCTCCTTGCTTCCTCTTCTATTTTATGTTCTTTTTTGTTCTCTTCTTCTCACAGATGCCTATTGCTCGTTCTCGTTTTAATCACCACCCGCATGCCTCTTTCGCTTTCCCTACTTTTTGTTCCCTTTTTGTTTGCTCCTGCATACGCTTCCTTTGCGCATGACCACGGCTGCCATCGTCGCGAGTCAGCGTCTGTGTCTGTCTCGCCTCCGAAATATGTACTTCTTGCCGCCGCATACTGTCTCCTTATGCGCAACGCGATTTCACGCTTCGCTCATTGCTGTTTTCACGAGCGTCTCGTACGAATCGCACATACAAAAGAGTTCGGCGGTGGTTTGAAGTAAGAAGTAAATAGTACGGAGACAAGGCGTAGTAGGCACGCGCGAGGCTCCAGAAACGAACGAGAGAAATGACGGGGGGAACAGGTTGTCGCGAGATTGGTTTCAGGAAGGCATGCAGCGACGCGCGTGCCTGCCTGCGTAACGAGGCGAGCGAACCATAGCTGCTTCAACCTCCCTTTGCATTCGAGTCTGGTTTGTTTCAACTGCGTGCGTGCTTGCACTCGAGTTACACCCCTTTTAACCCCCTTTCCCTTTTAACGGAGTGTTCGTCGTGCTCAGCGACCTCGATCCGCTTAAGCCCGCTCGTTTGTCACGAAATCTCAGCTGTCGTCACAGCAAGGCGTTTAAAGCGCGGTTGCTGGGTTAAGGCGATATTTATCGCGTCGCAGCTAAGCACGGAAGCCTTTTGCGGTGCCAGGCAGTCGTAATCTGCAATGCGGCCGACAACAATCGCGTGCACATGACGGTTGAGGCTGCAGTGTTTCAACGTGTGCTGCATAGATTCGACTCGTTAGGCGGCGTTCGAAGTATTGAAAGGTAACAGAAGTGCCATTCACGCGAGCACGTGGTGGTTGTCTGACGCGCTCGGAACGAATAATGACAATAATTTTGATTTGATTGATATGAGGAGAGTTTAACGTCCCGAAACCATGCACACGATTACGAGAGACGCCGTATATAGTGGAGGGCTGCGGAAATTTCGGTCACTTGAGGTTCTTTAACGGGCACCCGCATCTGAGCACACAAGCCTACAGCATTTTCGTCTCCACCGAAAATGCTGCTGCCGCAGCCGGGAGTCGATCCCGCAACCTGCAAATCAGCAGCCGAGTACTTTAGCCACTAGACCACTGCGCCTGGGCAATAATAATAATAATAATAATAATAATAATAATAATAATAATAATAATAATAATAATAATAATAATAATAATAATAATAATAATAATAATAATAATAATAATAATAATGGGCGTTTTATGTCCCAAAAACACTATATGATCGATATGATTATCAGAGATGCAGCAGCGCTGGGCTTCTGACCTTTCGACCATCTGGTGTTCCTTATGGTGCACCTCAATCTAAGTGCATGGGCCTCTAGAACTTTGCTTCCATTAAAATTCTCCCGCCGGGGTCTGGATTCGGTCCTACGTCAGCAGTCAGGCACGATAGTAAACGCTGTACTACCTCCCCGTGGCGGGTGAACCAGTCGTGGTGTCGAAGGGCTATCACCAATCAGTAATTGCGTCGTTTCGGACACAACTAAAGGCTGACTAAACTGCTACGTTGCCCACCTTCGCCCACCTAACACGGATAGGGGTGTGCGGGTAATCGAAATTGTCGAATATCGAATCGATTGAGTGTCCTGCATGAACGACCGTTATTCGCGATCACGAATGTCCTCCGACTGCTTTGCAAATGCTTAGAAACGTCAACCTTGTCAACCGTGGTGGCGTTGCGGTGGTGCTCGGCTGCTTAAACGAAGGTCGTGGGTTCGATTCCAACCGCGGCGGTCGCATTTCGACGGAGGTGAAATGCTAGATGTCCATGTAGTGTACGATGTCAGCGCACGATAGAGAAGACTGGAAATTTCCGGATCCCTCCACTTCTGCGTCCCTCATAATCATATCTTGGGTTTAGGTACGTTAACTTCAGATATTACTATGTTAGGAACATTAACCTCCGCCGAAATAAACCCGAATTGGGTGCCAACTGGTACAAAAGGTTTCTTTCCGTGGGCATACGAACGCGGGAGTTCTCGTTCTGCGGCAGGATGTACATCACCCTCAGACTTATGTACCTGCTTTGCAACAGTCATTCGCACTCATTGACGAGTTCTGTGGATGCGAAGCACCTGTCTATGTTGTCCTGATGCTGAAGGTGGGCTTTAAATGCTAATATTATGCACACGAGACTGACGAGAATTAATATATATAAAAAATAATTGTTGAACTGGCTCTTACATGCTCGAGAGCCATATTCGAAAGGTTCTCAATGTTCGATTCGATTTCGTTTCAGAAATCACTATTCACACACACCCAATTGTTGTTCTTCGCATTGGGTGGCCCACTTGGCAACATTTTTGTTTTCTTCATCAGCTGTAAGAAGCCTGGTTTTTTTGTGTAGGTCACTGTAGGGTGCATCGAATGCTTTCCTTGTGACTCTCCTCACACCATTGCTGTTTCTTTGGTTTTCCTCGGCGCAGCTCAACTGTACTGTAACCCACATTGTGCTCCCGCTGTGCACTAGCTCCCACATCACGCCAACGAGCTGTACAAGTCGCTTAGTTGGTATAGTTAACGGTTCTTCGTGTGTGGTCCCCTTTGTGTGTGGGCATATGGCGTTTACACGCGTGCACAACTTTTGACAAGCGCATAGCATTTTGTTTGGTAATGTTATATACCGACAAAAAGCCGTTCTTTCTTTCCTCTTTTTATAGCCAGCGCCAGGCACGATCTGGAAACGCCGCCGTCAGCTTCGTTTCTCGCTCGTTTTTCATCGCAGGGATTGATCATCCGGAACTGCGCGCCAGCAGTAGCAACTTTGTTGCCAGGTTGGCAACTCGCGCTGTTATAAATCTGCTGCCCACACACCTCGCGTCCCGAGCGAACTGGCACGCTTTCTTATGCTGCCCAAGTTTTCCACGAGTGGGTTATGATGAATCAGGGCGATGGCTGAGTTGAGGGAAGAAACTTAGCGCCGCGGGATGCCAGACGTGCGAGAATCGGCTCAACTAATCCGAGTACATATTGGAATTGGCATCACGTCCGCAGCAAATGCATGAATTAAGCGCGTACGCTATATCACGACTGCGACTTCTGAAGACGGCGGCCGCCACTCGACAGTGTCAGCCAGACCGGTTGCTGTGACGTTTCACCCATGACACCGTAGGTCGTGTAAACGGGGTCCCTGTTTCAGTTTCGTTGCTTCGTCGTCTGCTTTCCTTTCACTGAATAATATGTATTACACACTACCCAGCACCACCCCACAGAACGATGTAAGATATATGAGAAGAGTTCTGAAACATCATGAGTCAGGATTGATTGATTGATTGATTGATTGATTGATTGATTGATTGATTGAGTGAGTGAGTGAGTGAAACACAATGTAGCGCAAAGATGGCGTTCAATTGCTTGTTGATTGATTGATATGTGGGGTTTAACGTCCCAAAACCATGCATATGATTATGAGAGACGCCGTAGTGGAGGGCTCCGGAAATTTTGACCACCTGGGGTTCTTTAACGTGCGCCCAAATTTGAGCACACGGGCCTACAACGTTTCCGCCTCCATCGGAAACGCAGCCGCCGCAGCCGGGATTTGATCCCGCGACCTGCGGGTCAGCAGCCGAGTACCTTAGCCACTAGACCACCACGGCGGGGCGTTCAATTGCTTGTTGTTCGCTTGGTCTTGACGCGCTCACATCTACAAAGCCCAACACCGTTCAGGAAGTGCTGAGCCATTTCCGAATTCCTCTCATGTATTTCTCATTTTCGAAAGGTCGAGGCTTAAACACGACTGAATCACGACAGCTGAACTAAAAGTTTGATGAACATGAAGTAGAGGTCTAACCTATACATAGGATACAACAACCCTCCATCGCATTGTGCTTTGGTAGAACATTGGACTAATTGTTTCTATTCATGTTTTTTTTTTCTCTCTCAAAATGTAACAGCAAGATTTCAGAGAGAACTGATTCCGAAGAACAGACGAAGACAATTCAGCTGTGCAATTTAAATAGTGCAGCGTAGTTTTGTTTTTCGCAGATAAGTGCTCGGGTGAAAACTCGATCATCTTTCTCACCCGACTTCTTCCTTGTTGGGTCTCTTTTTATTTTAGATTCCCTGCTGTGCTCTGGAGGAAGCCCTCCCTTTCGTCGGCCTGTACCACCAGGAAACAGTGGCATGGAACGAGTGCTGCTGGGTCTCCCCATTTCTTCGAAGACGAGGAGCGTAGGGGCAGGGTCGAGGAGCTCCATCCAGCTCAGCGGCGAGGAGGGAGGGGGAGACGGAATAAATTTGGGCAGTTTGCGCCCCCTCTTCTGCGGCGCTTCCGTCGCTTGGTGGTCGTAGAGGCCTCATCTGGATCGCGGCCCCTGTGAGCCCCGCGAGCCGCCGGCGATGGGTCGTCGCACCTGCGGCCACTTTTCCCGGCTTCCGCTGCTGCAGGATTTGGAGATACGACGCATAAAGAGAAGGAACGGCGTTGCACGGGACGACGCCTAATAGGCTGAAGTTTGTAGCCGTCTGCGCGTGCTGACACCAGCCCCCTCTCGCGCATGTGCATAGAAACACGAGAAGCTTTCTCGAAGTGCTTGTTTTTGCCTGTTTGGTTCTGTTCTAACTTGACTGCCGTGGAAAGATCGAGGTTCGCTTGGGAGTAACATACACAAACAGCTTCCTGCACAAAATACATCGATCCAACTCCCCGGAATGCCATTGTGGTCATGCAGAAGAAAATGTACGCCATATTTTTTTGGAGTGCGTTAAATAGGCGAATGAAAGAGAAAAATTAAGGAACAAATTAGCAAGTTTGGACAGATGGCCCTTCACATTAAAGAAATTACGCGGACCGTGGCCTGAGGTGCATCTTCTGAAAAAGGCGAACATCTTCCTGACAGACTTCTGAGTGGAGACCGGACAGGATAAGCGCCTGTGATAGACAGCCAGGGATGGATATATATAAAATGTGTTAGCGCATATACTGACAGTAGATAAGGGAGGTGTACGTGTGAACAGTTTGACAGTGTGAACTGCTGCAAGCAAACTGTGCATTGGCATGATATTTGAACTGGTATCAGTGTACTATTGTTGTTGTTTTTTTCCGGATTCTTCATTTTTGGGTACCATTCAGTATCATTCTTTTTTTTTTCGCTGCAGAACTTATTGATATGGAGTAGCCGAGGCAATATGAACCTCAACCTCTCCACAGCAAAACAGTTAGAGCAGAACAGAACAGAAAAATATGGTGGCCTAAAATAAAAAATGAACAAACGCATTTTTTTCTGGTAGACGAACCATTGATTGATTGATTGATTGATTGATATTTACTATTTCCAGTAGTGTTGCTCTCATGTGAGAGTGAAATGGTGTAGGGTACCTATGACGAATACTGTAATCATGCCTTCGTGGTAGCATGTTTAGCATAATACTCCAGTTGAGTACAGTTCAACATTAAATGACGTACGTGGCCTATGAGGAACATGATCAAAACATATAAAGTACTTCAACGAGACCCGCGGCAATTTGAAAATTTAAAACTGCATCCGTTCAATGAGATAGACAAGCAGCATTTCTCCCTGGTATGAGAATTTCTCAGACCTTACGAAATGACTGCTTTTACTGAACGCTCATTTCGGACGCTAAGGCTGTTGATTGAGCCACCTCTAGAAGCCGACTAAACTGCCTATATATCCCACACATGGCACATTTGCGAACTTATTCATCTGATATTAAATAGGCAGTGCTTAATAACGGCTACAATTTCTCCGATTTCGATACCTGCATATGATGCCTATCATAAATAACTGCTACAATTTCTCCGATTTCGATACTGCCTATAATAAACCTGCGATACCTGCCTATCATAGAGCTCTATCATGTTCTGTTTTGTTAAATAAGAAGCGCTTATTAATGGCTACGAATTTTCCGATTTCGATATCTTCCTATCATGCCCATTATAAACCTGCGATACCTTCCTATCATAAACCTCTATCACGTTGTGTTTTGTTACAGGTTGATTGATATAAGTAGATTGATATATGCATACAGAAAAGTGTTGCATGGCTAAGAGAAGATCGACCCTGGTTGCATATCCGGCCAGGCTATCCACATTTCAACGGAAAGGACAAAAAGAGCCACGCGCGTATTCGGGAGCACGTTAAATAACTTACCATGGTTTAAACTTAACCTTGTATAATCTACTACGCACGTCACAACCAAATCGCGTTTCTTGGGAGGTAAATTTTCATAATTATCTGTTTTATCCGACCTAAGCTTTTGCCGATACGTCCTTGCTTACGCAGTATGTGCCTACGTGATACGTAAGCCCGTATCAGCACGTGCCTTCAGTCATACAAATGAGCATTGAGAAACACGAATAAAAAAAATACCAGATGACATTTTTTATATATACATAATATCACTTTTCAACCGATAGCAAGTTGTTGAATCGTTTATTTTATCGTAGAAAAAGAGTGCAAGGCAAAGCCGAGGGGGAATGTTTCAGGTCACGTGCGGAATCGCGAGATTAGACTCGTTGCACGTTACAAAGAGACAGGCGTTTCGCGCGCGCCGGTGTTACACGTGAAGTTGACTATACGTTCGAGCGCGGACAATTCCCTTCGGCCACTCGATATCAGAGATAACACCGATCTCACCTCCTTCTGCACGACTGCGCGTCACGCTCTGAAGATCGTCTTTGCTCTTTTCCCGTTTTCTAGTCGCGGTGCGTGTCAGAGGTGCCCGCGAGACACGCAAACTTTCGCTTTTCGCAACGTTGCTCTCACTGCCTTAATTACTGCACTTTCCACTTAATGACCTCCCAATCTTAATTGCGGCAACTACGCGCACTTCACGGCGTAGGTGTCACACGAGTGCTGGTAATGTCATTTACTGTAATTCTCTTTTTTTGTTGTTGTTGTTGTTGAGAGGACCTGGGGTTTTCTTCCTTACAGTCCTGGAAAAAGATGAGAAGAGAGAGAGAGAGAACAACTTTATTTAAGATAACAGAAACCCGGTCCGGGTCTACTAAAAAAAAAAACCTATCCATCAGACAGGCCTAGAAGTTGCAAACGCTGGAGCAGTGTCTTCATGATGTCTGGGGACGAGTCCGCCAGCCACTCCTCCAGGGTCGCAGGTCTTAGGTTTATAGGTATGTGCTTGAGGCTCTCGCCCAAGGCTGCGCGACCACTCGGACAGTCCCACAGTAGGTTTGAATAAGTGGCTGGCACAAGACGTTCTCGTACAAGCAGGGTCGGGGAGGATAAAGTTGTTATGGAAGGAAGAAGAATGCATCTCGCACCATAAAAGGGTTGCAGTATCAGTGATGCAGGGTTTTTATTTTTATTTTTTATGATTTTATAATGATTATTTTGTGCAAATTTAGGCTGGAACCTCAAGCGCAGACAGGAGGAATGCCAGGAGAAATAACAAAGGGTAAAGAAAGTTAATGAAATTTGAAAAAAAAAAGAAGTGTCGATGATGCGATCATCCTAAAAAAAAAGATAAGTACTTAATGGCTTATTCAAGAAAACCTGGTAAGAAATGTGACTAAAGGAAAGCGGAGGAAAATAAAAAATCTGAAATTTAACATTCATTGATTGATTTATTGATTTGTGGGGTTTAACGTCCCAAAACCACCATTTGATTATGAGAGACGCCGTAGTGGAGGGCTCCGGAAATTTTGACCACCATGGGTTCTTTAACGTGCACCCAAATCTGAGTACACGGGCCTACAACATTTCCGCCTCCATCGGAAATGCAGCCGCCGCAGCTGGGAATCGAACCCGCGACCTGCGGGTCAGCAGCCGAGTACTTTAGCCACTAGACCACCGCGGCGGGGCGAAATTCAACATTAAATAGCAATATTTCGAAAAAGAAAAAAAGTATGAGTAAAAAGGGGGGGAATGAGAAAAACAAAAAGAAAAAATAGTACAATGAAGGCGTGAATGAGGCAAGCAGAAATTATACTGATATAATGAACGCCGATGAGGAAACAATATATTACGGTAATCTGAAATGAATAAAAAATAAATAAATAGACAAATGCTAAACGTGCCAGAACCATCGAGGCTGCAAAGGGGTAGCTTTAGATAGGAGTCAAAAAGCGCAGGTGCAACAATTTGAAAGATGGAAACAACACCGAGACAAAGAGACTTTATGGATATGAGTCAAAAAGTGCAGGTGCAACAATTTGAAACATGGAAAGAACCCGAGACAAAGAGACTCTGAGAAGGCGGGCACGCACGTGTGCACATGCGTAACGAAGCAGGCGAAGAGCGGGCGACCTGGAGTCGAGGCATTTAATTATGCGAGAACCGGCGGTGTGACAGCATTCCGGTCCTTCGTGCGTCGAGCTCCTTCCGCACGGCAGCCAAGTGTGTGCGTGCACAAGCCGTGAAGATTGAGGCGAGAAGGCCACTGATGAAGGCAAGGAGGCACAAAATGCGGTGCGGCACACGCAAAGCTCAGCTTGGCACGCTAAAACGCCCACCGATCGAAATAATGATGGCGACTTCAAAGCGCGGGTCTAACCTTAGAACAAGCTTCTCTTCGCTATGCGGTCGCTCAAATGCCTGCTCGCTGGCTCGTACGTACGAATCGGGGATTCGGTATTCTGGTCCCGTTGCGACAACCATCGCCACCGGAAGCGGTCGCCAAGAGCACCTGGGAGAGAGAGAAATAAAGAAAGAAGAAAAGAAAGAAACACCATGAAGCGCATATGCCGTTTCCTGGTTTCGAAATCACCGTCGTCCTACACCGGCCCGCGGCAATGCTGGCACCGTACGCGGTTCTTGTCGCCTCCGGAGGCGATTACTTTATTCTCTCCAATGGTGCTTGTGTTTGCTTGAGCTTTGGAGGATAGATAAAGGTCGGCATACATTACGTGGCATCCGCCGGTAAGCCGCATAAGTATACAAAGTTACATTTCTCGGAGATATGACTGTACGTGCTGGAAGTGTATTTACGTTTGGAGATAATTTTTACAATCGTGGACCGTGCCAGGAAAGCGTGAATTAGTGGGCGACTCGAAGTGGGATTTCCATGCACGATAAAAGAAAGAAACATAAAAAAGAACGAAATTATCAAAATCATGAGAACTCTTCTAAAACTGTCTCCTATCAAGCCACTTGTTAGTAAATTTCATAGCGAAACAGCCAAATCCTGAGCTAGACATCGATTATTTCAAACTAACTTTTTGTCCGAAAAAATTTCCTTTATTTGAAGGGGGCTACGCAAAACAAGCACCCCAAAACGTACAAGAATAAGTCAGAGATGTGCCAACAATTTTTAAATAAATGAAATTGATGGCACATGACGGGC